ACATACATTAATATTATTAATTACTATCATAATCTGTCATTTCACTTTCGGGTAATTTTGTTGAGGCGTTGCTACACATATCATCTATTAAATCTTCTTCATCAACAAAATTATTTTGAAATCTTAATAATTCCTCGTCTGTTGGTCGTCTTTTTAACACTTTATAAAGTTTATGTATCCAAGAATTAGTATGAAAATTGTAATTACCTCTACGATAAAATCCACCACATCTACATAGGTTCATTAGCATATTATTATATTATATTAAATTTGAATATCTTTATTCATCATTTGTAATTTGAAATGCCTGTTCAAAATTGATATGAAACATTTTGTTAATGTCTTTTGAATTCATATTCACGTAGAAAAAAGAATATGGAGCAAAATTAACGGCTTGATGATACATATCTAATAATTGCTGTTTGTCAACAATGGCGCTATTTTCTTCAATAAAACTCATTAATTCACTGGCATTTTTCAACCTAAAAATATATAATGAACTGGCATTTAAACGAATGATAGGCGCCAAAACATTGTATTTCTGTGTTGAACAAATTACGCTTACTGCATCGTGCCTACCTCTTGTAAATAATCCATGTAACAATTTACTATATCTAACAAATTTAGGATCGTCGGCATGATCGTCTATAACGATTAATATTGAATGTAGTTTCTTTATCTTTTTAGATTTCATATAATTAATTATTTTCTTCTGTCTTTCAATTACATTTTCTAAATCACTTGGATTATAATTATCAAAATAAATTTGTTCTTTTTCATCATCCACGTGCAATTCATCCCTGATATATTTTTTAACTTCTGTAAAGGTTGGGTCATTATGAACGCTGGGGGAAAATATAAATATTCTTGCAAATGAATTTCTATAAACATTTAAGATAAGGTTCTGAACCAAGACTGTTTTGCCACCTGTCGAACTCGCAACTATAATACTTCTAAATGGTAATTTTGGCACGTGCTCATATTTAGATTGTTTGAATTCATATTCAGTTATGTTTATTGGTTTTATTATTGGAACATCTGACATAATAAAATAATATTAAAGTTATTTAGAAAATATTTTATATTTATTATTTTATATGAATAGAAGCTATTCAGATTATATTGATATAATAGATGAAGTAGAGAATATAGAACAAGTTGTTATAACTGATAATAGATGCAAGAAAGTATGCTATTTTGTTTTAGAAATAATTAAGTTTGTGATACAATATATCAAAAATAAAAATGTAAATATTAATATAAATGGGAAGAAAGAAAAATAATAAGACTGAACCAGTTGTTTCTTCAACTGATGAAGAAAAAGAAGAAATTGTTAAAGAAACATCAGTTATTGAGTTTGCTTGTCCAATGTGTAAAAAGATGTTAGAATTAAAAAATGAATTAGAAATACAAAAGAAAGGAACTTGTAAATGTTCGTGTATTCCAGCCAGTTTCAAAATAAGTAAGAATGATAAGAAAATGAATATTGATAAAACTAAAGACAGTATAAACTTAGAAACAGATGTTCATCATATTGCTATTCGCTTTGGGAGGAGAGTTACTCCATCAGATAATGGTGATAAGGAAACTCAGGAAACTATACGCGAAATGATGAAAAATAATAGTTAAAATTATTTCTATTATTATTTATAATGCAAGATGTTATAAATAATATTATTAAATTCATTGATGTAAAAGACTTGAAATTAAATAATTTTATTGAAGAATATAACGAAAATGATATATTAATTAATTTTGTTAATGACTTTAGAAATAGCAAAATTGATTTTAACATGTTTTATAATTCTATTAATTATGCTGATTTATTTGAACAATCAGATTCAAAATTCTATTGTAAAAGAATATATTCATATACTTTAAGATTTATTGCTAATTATGATAATAAAAATGCTATTCAGTTTTATGAAATTACATTGAGAAAAATGAATAATATTTACAAAAATAGTAACATTAATGTTGTTAATGTGTTTGAATGTATTAAATGTTTAATAATTTATATTACAGATAATATTGAAAAGTTTCATAAATATTCAAAATTTAGAAAAACTATTATTTGTAATTTAATTGGTAAATTGAATAATAATTTAACGAGTTACACAATAACTAATTTTGAATTGACTTATAATGATATATGATTTTGTAAAATAAAAGTTTAGTTTTAAAAGTTTTATTTTATAATATAATATATATATTTACATGGATGAAGGATTAGAAAAGATTGTTAAAAAACTGAACAAGGTTTTAGAACAGAATAAGAATATTTTAGAAATCTTGCAAGAAATGGAAAAGAAGAAACCGTTAACAAACAGTTATCAAAGTAAAGAAGTAGATCGAACCAATGGTGAATATAAAAATAAAAGAAATATTTATTTAAGCAAACTTAATAACAAAGAAATTAAAGAACCGAAGGCTTCAACTATGACATTTTATCAAATTGACTATGATGAAGATACAGGGATTTATTCTTGATTGAAACATGTTTCTCTGAAAATCCGTTTAAAGACATATTGGCATAACTAATATTATGAGTTCTACAGATGACGAAGAAGAAACAGGATACGCAATGGTTTATCCTTGCAGTAAATGCGACGAAGCAAAGCCAAGAAAGGATTTTCACAAAATGTATGATAGAATTAAAATGGAAGAGATATTTTACAAAACATGTAAGGAATGCAGAGACAAAGTAAAAGCAACAAAAGAGTTAAGGAAGGAACAGAAGAAACGAATACAACCCATGGAAATACATAGATTAAAGCCTTTGATACCATAGTTTTACTATACTTACAACATGTAAGATCTTATATGTTGTAATTATAGTGGTAAAAATATTTCTATAAATTATAATTTCTCTGAAAATGTATTTAAAGAAATATTACCTATATATGTTAGCATCAGAATGGTAGTATTTACTGAGATTGAACAAGAGGAAATTATGAATGAATTCTTAGATAAGATCTATACAAATGACATGCTAAACATATTTGATAAACGTGTTGCTGACTGCTATTGTAAGTTAAATGACGAGAAAGTTGAGTTAAGTAAGTTAAACTTGTCAAGTAATATCATCAATAACATGTGTAAATTTAACTATGAAGAATGCGAGGGGTGCAAGTCAGCGAGAAGGAGAAAAATGGCAGTTAAAAACCCCGAAAGAGGAACAGCCATAAATGAATATATTTACTTATTCTCTCGCTGTCATAGTTTTCCTGACAAACAAGACTTGAAAGTAGAATTCAAGTTCTCGTTTGACAAGATAAGCATATTAAGAAACATATATAGAGGCATTTACAATAACGATGTTAACAGAATAGCTTATTGTTGCGAAGGAACAAAATTTAATTACAATAATATGATCAGAGACTTTAATAAAGTTGTTAAATACATCTACGACAATGAATATTGTAGAAGGTGTTTTGCACATAACACTAAATTTGTAGAATGTCCAGAATTTAAATTACCTGAATACAGAGATGATGATGATTAAAACCATAGTATAATTATAACATGTAAACATTTATATGTTATAATTATAGTGTAATTTTCCCGTATAAGCCGTGGGGGTGCTTTCCTACATAGGCCTTTCCCATCCGCATTTTGCCATCCATATTTTACTGGGATTGTTTTCAAGATTTGGGTTAACGGTTTTAATTCTCCCTTTTCCATTGGTTAACCATTTTTCGGGGAGTGATATTTGTTGACAATAGGGTTGTAGCCATCTAAAAGCAAGGTGTCCTACTATAGTATGGAGAAAAAACTGTGTTCAAGATGTAGGTACGAGAAAGGTGAAGATAGTTTCGTGTATGGACTCAAAAATTGCGATAAATGCATTGATCAAAAACGGGACTATCGGACACGAACTGTAGACAAGAGGAAAGAATACCGGAAACAGTATCTTGAAGCAAATCGTGAGGAAATTATTCGGAAGCGTAGAGAGAAAACAGCGAATAATGGATATTTGTATTGTCATGTTTGTGAAAGAAGAGTGAACCCAGACATCTGGGACTTCCATTTGGTTGGAGGTTGTCACCAAGATAATATAGTCAAACACTTGAAAGCAGATTATGAACGATTAGTTGAAGAAGCACCTACACAAGAATTCAAGGACAAATATTATCAAGAAGGTCAAGAGAGGATACAAGAACTCAAAATGACAATGCCTTTGTATAATCCAGCTTTGAGAAGAAAGAAAGTTGATCAGGCTGATGGTGGTGAATTGGACTAAAAAATGAAGTTAATCATTAGAAAAATAATGTTCTAATGATTAACTTAGAGGGTTGTTCAATTTGGTGGTTTTGAATGGTGTAATTTGATAAGTGGCTTTGAAAAGTGCTTGAAAGTGTGGGGGGGGGTATGGGAAAAAATGCCATCCGACGGACGGGAAAGCACTACTCTAACTCCTTTACCCCCCCCCCTGCTTTGGGCCAAATAGGTGGGAAGCTTCCCGAAAGCCTTGGGGAAGCTTCCGGAAGCCTTGCGGAAGCTTCCGGAAGCCTTAGGGAAGCTTCGTGAAAAAGGGGGGGAGATTGAAACAAGGGTGGTCCCCCCCTCCCCCCCCCTTTTTCCCGAAGCTTCCGGAAGCTTCCCCAAGGCTTCCGGAAGCTTCCGCAAGGCTTCCGGAAGCTTCCGGAAGCTTCCGGAAGCTTCCGGAAGCCTTGCGGAAGACTTACGGACTTCTGAAGCTTCGGGGGAGCGGACGGGAAGGGCAGGGGACAGGGAAGGAAGGGGTGCGAGGGGGACGAGCATGAGCGTAGTGGTGGGTGTCATTTTCCAGGGCTTGTCGCGCCGCCAGTCAGTGGGGAACCCTTTGGGAGCCAAATGCTTTAACAGTGTTATAACACTCCAATAGCAGTGCTATAGCATGTCTCAAGGGGGGGGGGGGTAAGGGAGGGGGGGTTTATGCTTTCTTAAAAAACAAGCATTCAGCGAGGACGCCTCGCGGCGTCCTAAAAACCAGCAGCCCTAAAAACCAAACCATCCGCCTGCGGCTTCTCGGGGGCGGAGGCTGGCTCTGGCTCTGGAATCTTCCGAAACCCCAACTCCCCGCGCAAGTCCGGGACCTCCCGTCGTCTCTGGGGGGGCGTACACATGCACGCCACCTCCGGCTCCGGCTGGTCTCGCGGGGGGGGCTCGGAGATGGGCTCGCGGGGCTGGGCCGGCTGCGTCAACTCCAGGCGCCGGAAGGCGAGCGCGGGCCGCTGCTGCGGCCCCCCCGGCTCCTGGCGACAAAAAGACATCGCACACATCTCGGAGCCCAAAAAATCAACTGCCTTCCTGTTGACCTCCCTACGAATAGCAAGAGCCTTCGCCCGACCCCGCCTGCAGTGCACCAGGCAAGCCCAAGGAGGTGCCAAAGGCGCCTCCGGCCACGCACCAGCGCGAGTTGGCCTCGGTGTCCGGTGTCGGAGACGACTCCAGTCGTGCCAGAGCCGGCGCCGGAGATGGCACAGGCGGCACCGGAGGTGCCACAGGCGGCACCGGAGGTGCCACAGGCGGAGCACGGATCGGCGCAGAGACCGAGAACCACTCGCCCTGGGCACTGCGCGCCTGGATTCGGGGCTTCGCGGGCTGAGCGCCAGGAAGGGATGCAAGCGCTCCTTGCGCGAACCTCTCAATCCGAGTGCCGGCCTGGCAACTTTCGAGAACCTGGCTCTTTGGATTCCGCACCGTCGTCACTGCTCGGTCTTCTGACTGTGCGCTTCGAAGATCCGCATGGCTGGCTTGCGGAGCATCGCCGCCAGGCGTTTCCTGACGCACCTCGAGCCCATCGCGAGGACCGTCGCAAGCTTCCTGGGCCTGCTCCTTGTGCTCGCCCACCATTTGCACGCGCCCGTCAGCGGAAGCACAACTTGGGTTTCTGGACGGAGAGGAAGATCCCTCCAGCATGGTCTGCACCTCTTGACTGACAACTGGATCTGTTGCAAGCTGAGTCTTGCGCTCCTGCTGTGTTTGCATAGCCCGCAGCAGAACGCATATCTCTTGCAGCTTGCTTTCCACTGCAGGATTGTGCAGTGCGCTAGGATGCGCAAGCGAGCTCACCGCGGGGACACCACTGAGAGTCGCAGCGGTTGCCTTTGGCTTGCCATCCAAATCACCTGGAAGCAGCGGCTGGCAGCCTTGATGCTTGGGATCCACGTTCAACCCTTGCTCTTCTAGAGCTTGATCCAGTGGGGTTCTGTCGTCTTCATTTCTATGGTTTGTTTGATCTACCTGACCTCCTGGGCCTGCTTGATCTCCTCTATGACTTCCGCTTGTTGGGAGACCTGGGTGGCCTCCTTGATCTTCTTGATCTCTATGACTTCTTTGAACTCCGGGATCAGATTGCTCTCTATGCTGACTTTGATCTCCTTGACCGCCGCGATCCCGTTGGCTTCCTTGATCTCCTTGATCTCTGTGACTTCTTTGAACTCCGGGATCGCATTGCTCTCTATGCTGACTTTGATCTCCTTGACCGCCGCGATCCCGTTGGCTTCCTTGATCTCCTTGCTCTCTGTGACTGATTTGAACTCCGGGATCGGATTGCTCTCTATGCTGACTTTGATCTCCTTGACCGCCGCGATCCCGTTGGCTTCCTTGATCTTCTTGATCTCTGTGACTTCTTTGAACTCCGGGATCGGATTGCTCTCTATGCTGACTTTGATCTCCTTGACCGCCGCGATCCCGTTGGCTTCCTTGATCTCCTTGATCTCTGTGACTTCTTTGAACTCCGGGATCAGATTGCTCTCTATGCTGACTTTGATCTCCTTGACCGCCGCGATCACGTTGGCTTCCTTGATCTCCTTGATCTCTATAGCTGCTTTGAACTCCGGGATCGGATTGCTCTCTATGCTGACTTTGATCTCCTTGACCGCCGCGATCCCGTTGGCTTCCTTGATCTCCTTGATCTCTGTGACTTCTTTGAACTCCGGGATCGGATTGCTCTCTATGCTGACTTTGATCTCCTTGACCGCCGCGATCACGTTGGCTTCCTTGATCTCCTTGATCTCTGTGACTTCTTTGAACTCCGGGATCAGATTGCTCTCTATGTTGTCTTTGACCTTCTAGACCGCCGGGATCCCGTTGGCTTCCTTGATCTCCTTGATCTCTGTGACTTCTTTGAACTCCGGGATCGGATTGCTCTCTATGCTGTCTTTGACCTTCTTCACCACCAGAATCCCGTTGGCTTCCTTGATCTCCTTGATCTCTGTGACTTCTTTGAACTCCGGGATCGGATTGCTCTCTATGTTGTCTTTGACCTTCCTGACCGCCGAGATCCCGTTGGCTTCCTTGATCTCCTTGATTCCGTACATCGCCCGTCAGCCGGCACTGTGCCAAATCAGCTTCTGTCGCCATGTTGATAAAATCATCGTGGCGCCTTGCTAGGCCACTCCAGGTGCTTTGGTTTCCAGGAGACGTGGATTTGGCGCAACTGGAGGCATCCTCAAGACGATCCATGGGCATCCTTCCAAGCTGTAGGCTCGGCTGGCCGCGATCTGCTGCTCCAGCAGCCTGTTGCCACAAAGTTGCGTCATCAACCGCTTCCTCGCCCAGCTGCCGCAAGATCTTGTTGCAGCCAATGAGGGCCAAGGCAAGAATGGATGTTGCCTGGCAATTGCTCAGTGCTTCTTTTTGGTACAGAAGCCCAAACCCAGACATCAATGTTGGTCTATATTCACTGCTGGGGAAGCTCATGGAATCATGGCATGCTAAACAAAACTCTTGCTGGTGAATAGATGAGCCACCTCCATTCGGGGATCGTCTCCTTGGCAAGCCCGAAGATTCTCCAGACCTGTGAAAGAGATGCTGGTGGCTTACTCTGATTTCGCTTTGGTCAAGTGACACGTTTCGTTCATGCGAGCTCTGGCAACTGGCCTGACGGTACGAGGCCATCAAGCTCCAACTCCATCAGCTTTCTCAATCCCATCCTGGCAAGGCGGATCACATTGAAAGAGCCACTCACTTGGCTCTGGGTCAAAACCAATGGTACCATTTTGGATGGTAGGTGAATTCACCACCCATTTCAGTCTACTTTAGTGGGGGTTGGGATGTTCACTGACGATTTGGATTTTGACCCATGGCCACTTCGGAATCTCTGGCTCAAGGGAATCCACAGCCACAAACACCACAGCCACCATGCGCAGCACTCGGACAGCCCCACCTCAGCTTTGGGCCCTGAAGACTTGGTCTGGCCTGGCGCTCACAAAAACAAATCAGCGAGTCTTGCATCGCATCGCTGGTGTCGGGAAACCGCACATGGCCATGGGTCAAAATCCAAATCCTACCCCCAATGAACATCAACCAATCCAACCACTAAAATAGGTTCTACAATGGGTGGGATATCATTGGTAAAAGACCCACAGCCACATCGAACTTTGCACCTTTGTTCCCCTGCCCAAAAACCAAATCCCCAGTTTGATTGTGGAAGCACCCGCACCCGGGCTTGTCCCTTCGGTCCTCCTGCAGCACTCCCATCATTCGCCGGTGAATGCTCTGCATGGGATGCTCCCAGCTGGTGACCTTAAGGCGCCAGGCGAGTGCAGATTTCGAGGAGTGGAACCGTGCCCAACAAGTCCAGTGAAATCGTTTCAATCGCACGCCTAATTTGCCCCAGCTGCAAGTGAGGAGGAACGGCGGCAGAAGTAAACCTGCTTGCCTGCGGTCTCGACCACCTCGGTGCGCAAGATCACTAGGAAGACAGCCAGCCTCCTTTTGCTCGCACTGGGAGTGCGCACCCACGGCCATGGAAGCTCCTGGAATCAGCCGGAATCAGCCAAGGGAAAGGCACCGATCAGGACGGGTGAGACCCGAAATCCCCACCATCCTGCATGAAAACTGGGGTCAACAGCTCCAGGATCCGGGAATCGCTGGTGTCCTGCGAGACTGACAAAGCAGCTCTGGCTCAGAGTTCCCCAGAATTTATGGTCCCTGGAGCCGATGGTAAAGGGTGGCAATGTGAATGGCTGTGATGCTGATTCAAAATCTCCATGGATAGCATGCCTGTGAAGCAATACATTCCTCTGGATAACCATAGCACTGGCAGGAACCAGCCACAAAAACAGAGAGACCTTTGACAAGAAGTCACAGGATGGTGCAAGTGAAAGGTCATGAAGCAACAGCGTGCATACGTTCACGCACTATAGAGTTGTCAAGCGACAAAGAGTGGACCTGTGGGAGACATGTCTGGAAGCAACCCATGATAAGAAATTTGGAAGATTTGCTGGGCAATTAGTGATCAGCCATCTTGCTCGTCTGAGCCCCCCCCCCCTTGACAGAATTCGTCGGACATCCATCAAATTGGGCAAATGCCAGAATACTACAGTGTCTGTCTGTAGACAGCAGAAGACAATAGCGCATTTCTCAAGCACATGGCATGCGTCCAGCAGAAACGACTGTCGGCGAGGATGCCAAAAGTCCAATCATGAAAAAACAGAAAGCGCCACGTCCCAATGATGGTGTCTTGCTTTGCGGCTTGCAAAATCACAAAGCAGGCACCACACCGCGCGCCATTTTGGTAGAAGTGTCAACTGCCCCCGAGCAAAGTCAAAGCATTGGCTTGGCTGTCTAAGCACGGCTTACGGAGCCAAAGAGGGCAAACCAAGCAGCACGATCGCACAAACAATATCACATCAACATATTGGCGGGCCTCAAAGCGCAATCCCAGATGTCGGGCATATTGCTCCGGGCGCATCCACCGGTGAATAGGAAGACCTGTGCACAGAATCGCTCGTGGAAGACAACGCAATCTCCCAAAGACGATTTTGCAGGAAGTGGCGCCAAAGCCAAATTCCGCCAACTATGCCTCATGCGTCTGCATGCATCTTCACACCCAAGCCGCCCAAGCCTGGACTGCGGCTCAGAGTGGCGTCTCGCGACGCCTCGAGTCGCAACAGAGTGGCGTGGCTTGACCGCTTCGCAAAAGGCTGAACAAGGCCGAAAAAGAAGTGTTTTTTTCACAAGCTGAATAAGTGGCTCGTGTCTCTACTTTGAAGCTAGTGAGTCGCTGAGCTTCGTGTCAAGCCTTTTATCTGCATTGAACCTTATGCTTTGCAATAGCTTCTCCATCTGCTGCTGTCTCCAGAATGTGTCGTTACTACGGTGCAAGCAAACATCTTTGCCGCGCTTTCCATGGTACATCATTGCTTTTTGTTTCTTGAGGATGGATCGACTCGTTTCCAAAAGGATGTGCAACTTCGGGAACCTCGAAAGCAGCAATTGTTCGGCCTCTGCCAGGCCGGATGGCCCTCTGGACGAGACCTGCGGGACATCCTCCAAGGCTTCGTGCTCGCTGTCCATGATGAGCCTTACGAAAGTCCAGTCAGACACTAAGGCTCAGTCAGGCCGTCAGGCCTTTCAATGGCGGCAGCAGCTCGGGAGCGAAAGGCAGGCCCCGACTTGCCTCCAGGCCAAAGTCAAGGTGTCCGGGTGAAATATAATATGTCGCCCACCTGAAATAAGGAGGTTGGGGGGCTATTCCCGAACTAAACCATCATTTCGGGTGAGGTCGTGTGAGGTCGTTATAATTCACCCAGAATGTGTGATGCACGAGTCCGCTTGCAGCTGTGAAGGTCCTGCCTTGTCTCCCTGAGGGGCTACCTCGTCCACGACTTCTCGAAGGACTTTCTGAGGCCTCGCGCGAGGCCGTCGCTGCCACCATCGCTCTCGTGGTTCCATGCAAGCTCCTGAAGCTCTTCCAAATATCCTTCGCGAGCTAGCAATGCCTCGTGACACTGCTTGGTGAAGCTGAAGGATGATCCGTCCATTGCCAACGGTATTGACATATGAATCTGACTTTCAAGGCCTTGGGGGCCCAGTGGCTGTCCAACCGGGGTTCAGTCTGGGGGAGGGCAAAACGGATCCGCCGAACCAATTTGCGACCGGGCACCAGCCCTGCAAGTCTGCAGGAATGAGCGGGCAGAACCTGCGAGCATGTCAATGCCGCGCCGAGCACACGCCCATGCCCGGCCGTGGACTCGGGATGATAGCGAGAAGACTCCTTGGTGCCGGTGTTGTAGTAGTACATCCGCTTTTCCGAGTCCTCCTAGCTCTGATCAAAGAAGAAAACGAAGATGACTCTACAAACAGCAAATGGGTCACAATCAAAACCTGGTACCAAAATGGCCGACCCAGAACCATGTAGAAGCTAAGAAGGCGGATATCCGCAGCCATTTATGCGTGGATCGTCCCTTAAGCTTCACTTACCCGGGTTTTGATTGTGGCTCAAACCGGTCCTCCACTGTGACCTCATTCCACTGGCCCATTTCCTCCTCTGCCCTTCTGGTGCCTTCAGTGTGGAGACGGTGAAGATGGTCATAGCGATCCTGGCAGGTAGGCTGGTGTCAAAAATTAGGGAGCTGGAAATCATCGATGTGGCTAGTAGGAAACCGAGAGCTGCCATGTGTTTCCCAATATGTACATATATATATATATATATGTATATATATATATAAGTGCATTGATGAATGCATGTATGCCTGTATGTACTCATGCATGCATGTACTCACGTACTCATGTATGCATGCGTGCAGGTATGCATGTGTATGTCATATATATATATATATATTGTTGATTTGTGCATATATACATATACATATATCTCAAAATAGGCATCCAAAATGGAACCTTGGATTTCAAATGGAACTAAGGACTAAAACCTGTGTTCCCTGGTCCTCTTTTTTAGTTGACCCATACCCACTAATATGTATTCTTGCTGATTGGTGTGCTTCCTCCCTGTGCTGTTTTCAGCTTGGTCGGGCCTTTGCCGACATGGACAGCACCTCCAAGCAAACGGCCGCCAGCTCCTGGCAGCACCAGGGCCCTTGAATCACAATCCGGGCGTCCTCATTGGTTATTTGTGCACAGGACAAAGCCAGTTTAGGCCCTTGAATCACATGGGGGCGTCCTCAAATCTGGGATCCCCTTTAAACGGAAAACCCAAAAACCAAGCGCCATCTGTGGAGGTCTGCACGTTGACCATCCAGGAACACAACCGCAGCGTAAAAAGTCTGCGTCAACAGGAAACCCCTCTGTCTAAGTCTGAGTAGCCAGGTTTTTTGACCATCAAGTAAAGTATGCACCTTGAAGACAGGTTCCAGAGGATGGTGCCATTTGGTCTGCCTCGTCGCCTGGCGATCGCCGAAAGAAAACCGGTTTTCTGTCGCAAACGAAACCTTCCCGCGGATTGAAGACCTGCGAAAATCCATCCGTTCGCGTAAAAAAGACTCCGCTGAGGGAAGAGATGGGTTTTTTTCCACATGAGGCAGTCGTCCAAATTGCAGTGCCATGCGCTCGGCTCAGAGCAAGCTTAATATCTATATATATATATATGGCACAGCGAGGGCATCTTCAATCCGCAAGCTGTGAGAGCCAATAAAGTGATAGTGTGCTATCACTTCGTTCAATAGCAAGGTTAAAAACTCGCGCAGGTGGAGAGAGAAAGAGAGAGAAAAAAAGAGGGGGGGGTGCTGTTTCTCTTGTACTTCACTAGGTTGGCGGAGCCTTGCGCGCGTAAACAACTACACGCCTTGTTGTGGAAGCACACCCGCTGTTGCTCGTCACGCGTGACCTGTGATGACAGTGGGTTAGATCTTGGGTCCAGTCTGCGCTCAGGTCGCGGCGACCCACGGCTCCGGCAGCTTTGCCTGGAGTCGAGTCAGAATTGCACCGCGATGTCATGGCTCAGTCTTTCGCCAACCGAAAGTGAGGATCCGTTTTAAAACGAGAAGCGATTGCTTGACCTGGTAAGGTTGTGGTGCTTCGCTTTTGATCGTTTGTCTCTCGTGGCGTGCAAGGCATGTTCCCAAGAGCAATGCCCTTGTTCACGATCGAGCTTCAACAAAAGGGTGGTCTCCTGAATCCAAACACATCTTGACCCCGAATGACATCATGTCTGCATCGATGCGGAGAAAACAATTTGCCAAAGCTGCAGGGGCGCTGCGCAGGGAAGCGCAGCAAAGAATCATGATTAGAAGTAGATACTGCTGGAGCAAAGGCACAAGCAACAAGATAAAAACAAGGCAATAAAAACTATTGTTTCTCCCCTTGCAGTCTTGGCTGGCAACTCCCGTCAAAGACCAGTTGTAGGCCATTCAGGTTCAATTTCAGCCTCTGGATATTCCTTGCCAAACCACTTTGTGACCTCTGTGTGTGTGTGTGTGCGTGTGCCTCTCCCTCTTCGCCTTCCCTTTTGAACTTTGTGCCCCGGGTTGAAGCAACAAGCTTGCATGATGCGGCGCGAGATATGCCAACCGTGGATTGCAAAGATTCTCCAGCGTCAGAAAAAGCACAATAGATACATAGATAGATAGATAGATAGATAGATAGATAGATAGATAGATAGCTAGCTAGATAGATAGATAGATAGGCAGATACATTACATTACATTAGATTAGATTCATAGATAGATAGGTAGATAGAATGACATATGGAACAAAGACGGAACGACAGAAAGAAAGAAGACAGTTTGTGGTGTGGTGTGCGTTGTGTATGTGTTTGTGTGTGTGTGTGCTGGCGTGTGTTGGCGTGTGTGTGTGTGTGTTGATGTGTGTTTGGTGTGTTGGTATGTGGGTGTGTCGGTGTGTGTGTGTGTGTGTGCGTTGCCGTGTGTGTTTGTGTGTGTTGTTGTTGGTGTGTGTTGGTTGGTGTTGGTGTGTGGTGGTTGGTGTGTGTGTTGGTGTGTTTGTGTGTGTGTGTGTTTTGGTGTGTGCGCGCGGGCGCGCGGGTGCTCGGGTGCACAGGTGCGCGTGCGCGCGTGTGCGCGTGTGTGCGTGTGTGCAGGTGTGATCATCGCTGTGTATGCTACCTTACGTACCTACGACCTTTCTCCTTTTGTCTTGCGTTGTTTGCGCTGTTGCTTCCGTGTCGCGTTGCAGTTGTGACATGAACTGATTCGTCCCATTTCGGCACTCATGTCGAGTATGACTTGCCTGCGCAAAAGAAACCTTGCGCCTCCAGTCGTGTGAGTGTGAGTGTGAGTGTGAGTGTGAGTGTGAGTGTGAGTGTGAGTGTCAGTGTGAGTGTGAGTGTGAGTGTGAGTGTGAGTGTGAGTGTGTGAGTGTGAGTGTGAGTGTGAGTGTGAGTGTGAGTGTGAGTGTGAGTGTGAGTGTGAGTGTGCGCGTGCGTGTGCGCGTGCGTGTGCGCGTGCGCGTGCGCGTGCGCGTGCGCGTGCGCGTGCGCGTGCGCGTGCGTGTGCGGGTGCGCGTGCGTGTGCGTGTGCGTGTGCGTGTGCGTGTGCGTGCGTGCGCGCGTGTGCGTGTGCGCGTGTGCGCGTGTGCGCGTGTGCGCGTGTGCGCGTGTGCGCGTGTGCGCGTGTGCGCGTGTGCGCGTGTGCGCGTGTGCGCGTGTGCGCGTGTGCGCGTGTGCGCGTGTGCGCGTGTGCGCGTGTGCGCGTGTGCGCGTGTGCGCGTGTGCGCGTGTGCGCGTGCGCGCGTGTGCGCGTGTGCGCATGTGCGCGTGTGCGCGTGTGCGCGTGTGCGCGTGTGCGCGTGTGCGCGTGTGCGCTGTGTTGTGCTGTGTTGTGTTGTGTTGTGTTGTGTTGTGTTGTGTTGTGTTGTGTTGTGTTGTGTTGCGTTGTGTTGTGTTGTGTTGCGTTGCGTTGTGTTGCGTTGTGTTGCGTTGTGTTGTGTTGTGTTGTGGTGTGTTGTGGTGTGTTGTGGTGTGTTGTGGTGTGTTGTGGTGTGTTGTGGTGCGTTGTGGTGCATTGTGGTGTGTTGTGGTGTGTTGTGGTGTGTTGTGGTGTGTTGTGGTGTGTTGTGGTGTGTTGTGGTGTGTTGTGGTGTGTTGTGGTGTGTTGTGGTGTGTTGTGGTGTGTTGTGGTGTGTTGTGGTGTGTTGTGTTGTGTTGTGTTGCGTTGTGTTGTGTTGCGTTGTGTTGTGTTGTGTTGTGTTGCGTTGTGTTGCGTTGCGTTGCGTTGTGTTGTGTTGCGTTGTGTTGTGTTGTGTTGTGTTGTGGTGTGTTGTGGTGTGTTGTGGTGTTGTGGTGTGTTGTGTGTTGTGGTGTGTGGTGTGTTGTGTGTTGTGGTGTGTTGTGGTGTGTTGTGGTGTGTTGTGGTGTGTTGTGGTGTGTTGTGTGTGTTGTGGTGTGGTGTGTTGTGGTGTGTTGTGGTGTGTGGTGTGTGTGGTGTGTTGTGGTGTGTTGTGGTGTGTTGTGGTGTGTTGTGGTGTGTTGTGGTGTGTTGTGGTGTGTGGTGTGTTTGGTGTGTGTTGTGTGTGTGTTGTGTGTGTTGTGTGTGTGTGCGTGCGTGTCCGTGCGTGCGTGCGTGCGTGCGGGCGTGCGTGGGCGGGTGGGCGTGTGTGTGTGTGCTCCGGGTGTGCCGGGTGTGCCGGGTGTGCGGGCGGGCCTCCGCAGGCTTGACTGATTTACTAATTTACTGTGCATGTGAGTGTCGGTCTGTGCATGGGCGCGGGGGGCTTGCTTGCTTGTTCTGTGTGCTTAATTACTCTTTATGCTTGCTTTCCATTTTTTTGGCTTGCTTGCTTGCTTGCCTGCTTGCTTGCTTGCTCGCTTGCTTGCTTGAATTCGCACACGACTGAAACCCTGGATCGCCTCATCAGCCATCTGGGAGATGAAGCGTTGTACTGGCACTGGTGCGCCAACTACGCGTACAGCATGCTCCTCATGCAAGATTGCCAGGAAGCGCTCTGAAACGGATAGCGCATAGGCGCATGCTGCAAGCACAACAGCTCAACGCTTACGCTTGTAGTCCACAACAACATCAAACACATCTGCACACACTGCGGTAGCTGCCAGCACGGCCTCATCTTGCTGACCTTTCTTCAAGCTGCCTTGACACACAGAAATGTGCAGAATGGGACAAAAGAACAACTATAGCAATGCAAGGACCGTCTCTAAGTCGCGAAAACACAAGACTTGCCATAGCCCATCTGATGTTCTACCTTTTGACATGATCTCAAACAAAATATCGACCTCCGGGGTCCCACAAGAGCTTGTGGCTACAGGACCAAGAGTGAACATCAACGACTTTGATGAAACACCCACATGGGTGTGTGTCAAAAATAGGTACCCAACATGGAACCCTGCTAAATGGAAAACATGACTAAACTCCGCTGTCCCCTGGTGGTTTAATTGTAGATCAAACAAAATGAAGATCCGCTTCGCCTTTGAGCAAGTCGGCGGGCCCATCTGATCCGTCTCGCCTGGGCGGCCGTCAAATGCAGTCCGGTGCCGAATGAGCCAGCGGAAAAGAAAAAGAAGCAAAAACACAACTCAGGCAAGATGTGCGAAGACCCAAAAAGCTCACAAGCTCTCGTTCCAAACATGCGGACTATTGGGCACCCAGTGAAGCCAGTGAAGCATTCTATGATAGCATTGCCCATAATTTCTGCAAGTGCCCCCAATTTCTAGTAGCATTGCCTTCAATTTTACTGCAGTGAGTCGTATTGCCCCAAACTGAAGCAGTCCATGCAGATCTTTCTGGAGGCACAGCAGACCTTTTTCAAGATATCTGACCACATCAACAAATCCTGAGGACTTAATGGCAGCTGACAAGCGCTGGCCTTTGTTGCCGACCATGGAAGATACCAAAAAAACGAGATGTGTGGGTTGGGACGCTCCCAACCAAACCCGTACTTGGGGGATTTTTCTACCGAACGTGGCTTCGAGAAATCTGTGCCGAGTGGCTCGCGCTCAGCCTCCAATTCATTGCCACTCACATCCTGCAGGCTGGCCGCTGGCAGTTTTTTGGGGGGAGGAGTCGGCCAGCCTCGCTGAACGACCTCGGCACAAGTGCAGTTTCGCTTTTAATTAATGCAAACAACGCGTTTTGGAATGGCAGGTGGCATTGTGTTGGTTGAAAACCCAAACAAAACACCCCAACAACAAGCTTTACAAATGGTAGACCTTCCCTCCGCAAAGCTGCAACTCCCTTTCTCTGACTCCAGATTCCTTTGAGCTACGAGCCATCCGCGCTTCGGCGACCTATCCAATCACACGATGCGCAGGCTTGTGCTGTGGCAGCAACACGAAGGCCGCCTGAGGGCCCTCAATCCAGTGTGTGGTGTATATATATATGTCTGTGTGTGTGTGTCTGTGTCTTTCTCTCTCTCTCTCTCTCTGTTTCTGTCTCTGTCTCTGTTTCTGTCTCTGTCTCTGTCTGTGTGTGTGTGTTGGTTGGCCGCATCAGCTTCAGTCATGACCAAGACAAAGAAAAACAAGTCAAGTTACTTCAAAGGCTTCTATTGCCTCGCCAAAAGAGTGACAAGTGCGACAACTCCCTCAGCAGCCTCAATCTAGGCATGGCAGCGCAGACCCATGGCTAAGCCGGCCCTATGGCAACCGGCAACTGGGGACCATGCAAAAGGACCCAACAGCAACGAGACCCACTTCTTGTTCGAAACCCAAAGAAATGGATGTTACTTGTGTCAGATATTTACCACATGCTCATGAATAGCATGAGAAAACCAACGTGAATAACATGGCAATCTGGACCTGGAGCCGGAACGAACTTGAGCTCAGAGGCAGTTAGATCTGCCGCGATCTCGTACATGACTCACCTCTGTTGATCCGTCCATGGCCTTGAAGAGATAGGGGTCGTGTACATCCTGGACAGGCATCATTTTACAGCGCCTGGCCTCCATGAACGAAGCCATCGACCACTACTGCCACTCATCGGCATCCGGCAATCGCTTTCTCCTTGGAACATCGCATCCCACTTGGGGATCTCGGGCCAGGATTCACCTCCACTGGGAGCCTGGAGGACAAACCGCCAGGCATGCGGAAGTGCCACCAACGAATCGCCGGCAAGAGCACGAGGCGATCACGGGACATGAACACAACAGGTCTGATTTGACCACGCAGCAACCTTTCAGCCTTCTCAGTTTCAAGACAAGGCTGTGGGTTAAAAATAGGTACCCAAAATAGAACCCTTGTAAGAGGAAACATGGACCAAAACCTGCGGTCCAATTCCTGGTGGTTTAATTTTGACCCACAGCCGTAACTGTCCTATGCTCTTGAGTGCACAGCAGGCCAACCAGCCTCTCTTCCGCAGCCTCGCTCAGAGCAGCGACGAGCTCGCGCTCATACCGGTCATACTTCTCCTGTCAAAGGCACCCATCACCCTGCACATGGCTGGTAACGGATCTTGCCAATCACGAGCTCTTCAGAAAGGCTTGATATGTCTCCCGCGCTGTTACCCAGGGTCCAGGAGCTGGTGAGGTGATTATTGCGTTCCTCCCCTCCCCGTTGAACAGGAAGTAAAAGCCCCGGAAATGAGTAGATTGCGCATCAGTTCAAAACTCTTCAGTTGCAGCCCAAAGCTGTCCTCTGAGTGCGAAGTGCAATATTGGTGCTGCTGGCATCCAGTGCAGCGCTCGACTTCAATCCAAGCGCCCTGACAGAAAAGTGAGTGGCATCCGCTGCTGGCACATATCCCTTGCTCTTCTCGCTGCGTTGTGGAAATTGGCTGCTGCATACTGGGATCATAGTAGAGAAATGCTCTGGATAATGGGATCATCATCATCATCATCATCATCATCATGATCATCGTCATCGTCATCATAGTCATCATCATCTTCATGTTCATCTTCATATTATTATTCTTATTATTATGATTATTACTATTATTAGTTCTTATTATTATTATTATTTTTATTCTTCTTCTTCTTCTTCTTCTTCTTCTTCTTCTTCTTCTTCTTCTTCTTCTTCTTCTTCTTCTTCTTCTTCTTCTTCTTATTCACTATATTCATCTTCATCTATCATCTTCATCTTCATCTTCATCTTCATCATCTTCTTCTTCATCATCTTCATCTGGATCTTTGAGCTCGCTTTCACACAATGTACACAAAAGGCGCCGTTGTTTCAAGACTTCCTCAGTTGTGCAACATTGCTTCACATGACATCAAACCAAGCTTTCTGCGCCTTGTGCTTGACTCGCCGCCTCCCTCCACTTGCTGACATGTCCACAGCATCCAGCCAACGTGGCCTTTTCTTCAAGGACAACCCATTGCTGCCCTGTATTGTTCCCGCATTGAGCTGCGCTTGGTCAAGACTGACACTTGGCTGGCAACCTGCGTCCAACGTGTACAAACACAATTGCTCGCACGGTTTGCTCTGTACAGTGAGCAGCTGGCTGCTTTGCACAAAAACACCGATCTTGCTTCGATGACATTCACCATGAATCCTGCTACATCACTTGAGCCGAGCGATGGTTGCAAGGTCAACAAAAGGGTTGCCCATCATATCTGTTAACCCTTGCTCCGAAAAGGAGGCGCCCGGGAAGGTGGCAATTCAGACCATTCCTCCCAACGCAAACTATAAAATAAGGATCTGTTAGACACCGGTGCCTGCTCTGCTTCAATATGCACAAATGGTGTTTGGAAGGATCTGGCCGCATTCAACCTTGGGACTGTCTCCAACGCTTGGCATGGGAGGACTGAGGACGCTGATGCATATCTATTTCACAAATGTGTATATATATATATATAGACATATCTATATATATATATATATCATCTATGTATACAAGACCTGACCGTTGCCTTACACATCGCTGTCGGCACTGCTTTGCAGAGTTTTTGGAGCATGTACAAAAGGTGCTTCGGAACAGTCGTGGCACAAGGCTGGCCCAACGGCGCTGGATCCTTGGTCCGGAAAAGCGAGGCTCTAGAGCGAAGCTCGGGCCCGCAATACGTCGCATCTGTTGCGCATAACTGCGTTCTTGGGCTTGTTTTGGGCCGCTTTTGAACGAGGCTGATCAAGGCGGACACGTTCTTGCGCAAGGATAGGGTTCTCCAGGCGGCTGGGCCAGCTGCGCGCAAGCCCGAGCGCCGGCCCGCATCATCAGAACCTCGGCCCCTAGCAAATCCGCTTTGCGCATCGTTGAGGTCTTGGGAAAACGCAGGCCCAGCATCATCCACACTGCCCAAGGCGAGCACTGCTTTTCAACTCTCTTTCCAAGTCAGCATCGCCGGCATCACCAGCATCGCCCGTCCTCCTGGGTTCCGCAAAAAGGCCGCTACGGTCAGAAGTTTGACGGCACAGTGGCTTTGTAGCATTTTGGGTTGCTGCAGATGGTTGACCTAATGCCGGCGATGTGGGAATTGCTTATACAAATTTCGCCCTTTTGTGGATGCCGGTGATGCTGAACCCAGGTGTGCGAATGGGGACCCAAATAGAATTGCATGGTAGGTGGCTGTGGGGTGTGGTGGATGCTGGTCGTGGGTAGGGCTCACTGCCCAGCGCAGTCTTCCCCGTTGGACATATTGATTCACTCCCACTCCGACCCTGCAACTGAGTTGCTTAGACTGCAGTGACGTGCATCTTGCTTTTGTCGGAAGGCCCTCTTCAAATGAGAAACCGTCATCTAGGGAACTTGCTCAGCGCAGTTGGCTGGCTCTGATTGAAAAGGCTTGAAAGGCTGCGCTCGGGCCACAATGGCCGGATCCACAGCTGACATGCATCTAAGAAGAATATGGGGACACGCCAACCTTGGGGTAGTCGCCATGCCTACCAGCCCCAAAGGCAACGGCCGCAGCTTTCATCAGCTGGGAGGCAAAGTCCCCGGGCGCCTGGCGTCAAACCCCCGGGCGCTCGGCAAAGGAGTCTTGGGATGTGGCGTGACAAAAGGCCCGATTGCTCTGCAGCTGAAAATGGTAAAAGCCTGAAAAAGAAGCAATGCACCTTGGGGACGTCAGAAAACAACAAAGCTTCGGACACGCCAGACTTTTCCTGCTTCAGCGCGGCCGGTGTACGCGCCGCGACATAGCTTGCGCTGAAAGTCCAAACTTGTCTGGACGACCACTTGCTGGCACCTACAATCCACAGCCAGTGCAAACAAGCGAGCTTCAGAACACGTGCCCGCGCCCAAACTCCGTCAATGATCAGAGATGTGGATGATGCGGATGAAACATCACCTCTGTACATGGGCTGCACAAAACAACCAGTAGGAGAGACCAAGCAAAACGGTTCGGATTCGCAAGCCCTCGGAAGTACCAAGTGCTTTAGACAAACAGCAGGTTGCACAGGAGCCAGTCTCAAGATTGTTGGTGACTGGCTACTTGCGATGAATATGTTCTTGCCCTGGTACCAGATGGACATTCATGGCAGTCTCAAATACAAATACCAACGACTGGCTCCAGTCACGATCGTGACAAAAAGTGTGCACATCCAGGGGCAGCGAGTAGCCAAGCTTAATACTAAAGCTTAGCTTAGTCCTCTTGCCTCAAAGGTGGAAAATGAATGTGAAGCCCGTCTCATTGGCCCGGGCATCCATACTCGCCGGCTGACATCCCTTCAGCTTGGCTTCTTCCGGCCAAGTTCCTTGGGTTAAGGATACCTGAACCTTCCGTGTCCCGCCTTGTGCTCGTTCACTCGCCAGCTTCGAGACATACTGCTGGAGGGTTGGTCCAGACACCTTTCAATTGGCTGGCAATACATTGCCGGATGACGCCCTTGAACCATCAAGCAATTTAGTCACACCTCAAGCACACTGACGTGATCAAATCATTCCAGTGGAAAAGCAAACTCACGTGCCTCCGCTGAAAGCATAATATGTCTTTTAAAGACAAAGAGTTCAAGCTGGTCCTGAAAGCTGCGTGCAAGAAAAGAAAGCAACAATTGACTCACTTAATTCAAAATGGCGCAATCACCTATAACTGCTCCCAGTCTCGTTTGTTCTCCACAAGGGCCAGGAAAGAGCGTAGGTCGATCTAAATACTGCCCTCAAGACAGGGCATTAAAAACAACAGTGCATTTAGAAAGATGAGCCAATAGGCGCAGCACGGTTGCAAGCGAGAGGATGGGGCAAACAGCCGAGGGCTTGAGCGATCTTCCGCTGTTCGGCATGGGAACAAACAGCCTGTGGAAGCGGTCTCGGAGCGGACTTGGAGCGGGCTCGGAGCGGTCTCTGCGCAGGGCCAAACCAAGTTTACAGGCCGTCGACAGGGCCAGATGCACACCTTTGCAGCCTTCATAGGCTGAACCATTTGCACCTTGAAACTGGGTGGACCATCAAAAATGGTGCCCGTGGATCACACTCGCGCAACCTTCTGCGGGCTTTGGGTGCCCAGTTGTTGACTGGTTGACTATTCCTTCTAACTGTTGTTACTGGTTGAGAAGCTGACCACACTGCCAATCTCATTAGCGAGTCAAGCAAGCAGCAATCCAACTTGCTTTTTGTAAGTTAGCTCGTTTGCTGCCTGTTTTAACAAGTTCAAGTAAGTTCGTCAGCTAGCTCAACAAACTAGCTAGCTCGCTTGCAAGCTCGTTTGCTGGCAAACTGACCTGCTCGCAAACTACTGGGCAAGCGAGCCAAGTAAATTAACTCGCAGGCTTTTTGACTATCTAGCTTTCTGGCTACACAAGTACATTGCCAACTCACAAGTGCTACGTGACTAGCCAGCAGGCACACTAGCGGGCTAGCTACCTATCAAAGCAACTTCGCCTGTTGGCCAGCCAGCTCAATCGGCATCGAATGCACAAACGAAGAAACGAAGAAACGGAGAGACGGGAGTTCTCGTGCTTGCGCAGCTTGCGCAGCCATGCCGTGGACATCTGACCCTCTGGCGTGTGTGTGGGGCAAAGAAAGCCTGGCACCACAGTTGCTCATTGTGAAATGTGCCCGGCTTCGTCGGCCGAGAATGATCGGCACAAACAAAATTTGTTCTTCAAGGAAAATTATTTACAACGCTTTGCACTTTATTCGACTTCAGCCTGCTGAAAGAGCATCATGCCAGCATTGCGAATGCTTTGTGCGCACGTCCATGTCAAGAAACCAAGAATCCCCTAGTCAGCACAATCCATTTAACAAATGCCGTGCAGGCATGATGCCCAACCGGCTCACGCAGGCCATGCAACTTGATAGGATGCCAAGCCAACATGCGATCCGCCTACCATGGTTGGGGCAATGCCTTGACGAAAGTTTTGGTGAGCTGGAATCACCTCGCTAAATTGCTGACTGGGCGCAAAGCGTTCACACGCCCAGTCCAGCGGAACTGATTGGCCGTTCACGAAGACGAGGGGCAAATATTCATAAGTGCTCGATTGACCTGAGCTGAGCATAAGGGAAGAGACCAGCAGCATCATAATTGCCAAAATTCTGAAAGCATTCCAGAAGGCGGAAAGCTCTGAGAACCCGACTGCATTTTGCACAGAAGTGGGCCAAGTTGGCCTCCAAACCTTGATTAGCCGCCCGACGCACCCCAGCCACGCAAACACCAGGATAGCCTGGCAGGGCTCAGAAAAACACACAAGCCAGCTGGGAAAACAGTGCTGTTCGCATTCCCGCCTGCAATAGAATTCATCATCTGGAAGCATGAAGTACATGCGTCTACGCTCACGAAGTTGACCAGTGCCAGCTTGGACCAAGGCAGATGAACAAAGTCATAGGGTCTCTCGTCCCAAGGGTATTTGCAGCATCCTTGACTACTGGCGAGCAAAGATCTCAAAAGGAGGAATGCGACAAAATACAAAGACTCAAATGGACAACACTGCCATTATTCAGCAACCCAAGCTGCGATGGAGCACCAGCAAGAACTCTTGAGGTGACAACCTGTGGGTGAGCTTGAAGAGCAGGGAGGTTGATGGTTCGTTCAAGACCATCGCCGAAAACTTGTGCCGCTGGTCACAGAAACTGCGCCCTATTCTGAGCAAAGATTCTACGCACCATCGAGAAGTTGCAGGAAGGCTACAATGCCTTGCCTACGCTCGACCAGGCATTGCCAACTCCATCAAGGAGCTAGCAAGAGGCACTGTACGCAACTTGCCAACACTTGAGTCGCATTCTCGGTACCTCCGAGGCACTGACTACACTCAACTCTGAAACCACCAAGAATCTACCACGTGGTGTTTGCGTTGACGCGGTTCCAGATTCGACAACGACCATCTCTACGCGGTCTTGGTCCAGTCCTGACGATGGACTGCACCTCATTCCCGCGTGTACATCTCCAAAACGGACCCGGCTAAGAGATTGGCAACATGAATGTCAAGTCGAGCCCCATTTGAGACTACAGCTACGCCTTTTTCACGCCTACTCCTGAACTTACATGTGGACACCCTGGTCTGAGCGAGCCGGGTCACACCGGTAGATGAACAATGAGAAAGTCAAATATCCTCAAATCGCACAATCATCCTACATCACATCGATCCTCACAGCCAGTAACTGAATGCCTCACTAGAATTGGATTGGTCAGTCCCCGGAAGGGCTGCGCAGGGTCATAAAGAATGCGATGCATGCGAGCAACCTTGCGGTCCTTGACTCGTCTGAGGAAAAGACGCAGAACGTGCAGCCAGCGATTCCGTTGGACATGCAAAGCATTGCACTTAGCTGGTCAATCTGCTTGAACAGAGGACTGTAGTTTCACAAGATTGAAACAATGCCAGAGAGAGAGAGAGAGATGGGGAAAATAATTGTAAGAGACAGACAAAAGCAAGAAAGTGAGAGGGGGAAAAAAGTGAGACGGGGAAAATGAAAGAGAGCAAGAGAACAAGAATGGACAAACGAAGCCAGATAGCGAGAGAGAGAGAGAGTGAGAATGGGAGAAAGAGTGACAATGAAACCCAAAAGATAAACCACGGAAGAAGAAAAGCAAGTAAAACGGGAACGAGAGGGGGAGAGAGAGAGAGAGAGAGCGGCAAAACAAAACGAGCAGGGAAAAAGAAATAAGCTGATAAAGAGGAAAAGAAAGAAGAAGAGATCACAGAGACAACATGCAAAGAGACAAAGAGCTAAAGAGACTGAGAAGCAGAAGCACAGAAACACTGACTCGAGACAAAACAGCAGAAACACAGAAAGACAGAATCACAGAAAACGGTCGGAAGGAAGGAAGGAAGGTAGGAAGGAAGGAAGGAAACAAGCTAGCAACGAAAGCAGCAAGGGAGGGAGAGAGGGAGGGAGGAGAGGAGGGAGAAAGAGGGAATGAAGGCGAGGTCAACAGGAAGGGGCAACATTTCAAGCAGCTTGCAAAGGTCTGTGGACCCCCATGTTCATCAACCCAATTTTATACGGGGATGGTATTTTATCCAGGCCCGCGGCCCCACCTGAAGAGTCTTCACCGCCATAAGCTGCGCCCTGAGGCTGCCGGAGCGATCCAGGAAGTTCTTGAGCCAAGCGATCTGCTCGGCAGAATCCTGACTTCGAGCGGGGCGAGAAGGGAATGTGGTTGAATGAACTCACAAAATCCCTGACGGGAAACCACCAGTTGGATGGTTTCGGGACATTCCAATTCTCATTCCCTGCATCTCTTGCACCAAGTTCAACTGCCAGCGGATCCCTTGGCTTGGCACAAAGTCCATTGCCTCGCAGTACTCTTGGCTCTGCATGTCGTGAAGCTGATCCAAGGCCGCCTCTGGCAAGCTGCTTGCAATGGGAGCTTCGAACGAAGACGTGCGCCTTAATCTTCCCTTCATCCCTGGCCAGCTTCTGATCCAGCTCCATCAATGCCTTCATTCAAGCGTCTAGTTAGTTCGCGCGAGTGCACACTCTCCGAAGCTTGGCAAGGCCGCGGTTTGGCGACGGGTGCGGGTCATTCGCGAATGGCGAGCCTCCACCGAACATCCTTCGTCCAGGCAGTCTTGGATCGCCAGGGTCGTTGCCTGCGCGACACGAGCGAGCCTCGAGGCTCGGCCTATTGCTTTTGCTTCAAGCCTCGTTGGCTTCCAGGAGAGGCTCGGGCATATGCCTAGACTTCACCAAGGTTCCATCCACCCCGATGTTCACCTCGCATGCGCGAGCAAAAACCACGGGGCTCGTTGGCTCTCGTCCGGCCTTGCCCTGCTCGAAGGCACGCATCGGGCGTCTTGCCTCAGCAAACTTGAATGAGAAATCGTCAAGTGGGTGTGGTTCCAAATTAAAGGACAGGGCAAATCACGGGTTCTAGTCTTTGGTTCCAATTTCCAAGGGGCCAGGTTTCGGAGGGAGCGCTGCAGGGACCAAACCGGGAAATCATCGCCGAGAACAGCTTGCATTGCCTTCGCGGCAAGCCCATTGCAGGCCTATCGAGCCGTCTTCTAAATGATGCTCAGTCCCTTGCCGATTTCAGCTGAGTTGGCTGAACAAAAGCCTCGAGTTTCAAGCACACATCTTCGCCCACCAGCATTGCAATGCTGCATTGGGCTCTGATCCTACTGAATCAACCAAAAGGACTTCTTCTTCCTTTTTTTCACGCGGCAGTTTGCGATTTCGCCAGTCCGCCGTCTGAATCAACCAAAAGGACTTTGCCAGTTGTTTGCTTCATGGAAACCGCGCGTTGCTCAACTTACCAGTGGAAGAGTCTGAGGCAACGACATGTCTAAGGCATGTGAGGAGAGCCAATCCCTGGCACACTGCCAAGGCTCTCAGGCTTTGAAACTCTGTCCGACTCTGCCACATTGCTCAAATTTGCCGGAGCCACCAGCACCAAAGGCACTGCTTTTGGACAGCCTCAGGCTCTTGGGCTGGGGAACAACTCTTCCCCGAAGTTAGGCCGCAACGCTTGCTCATAGCGACCATGGCAACCGCTCTAAAATGCCTTCCTGGTGCTCTGGAGCAAACGAAACGTCCGGCTCGTGAAGCCGCGCTGCATCTCCAAGCTGCAGTTTGATACATCTGCTATTTAACTTGCAGAAAAGGCTCTTTTTGAGGCAACAAGCCAGTGCATCGGCCAACGAAGTCTGCACACCCTAGCCAGTATTTTCAGGCCAGCAAAGGCTGCACACCTAATTGCACATGTCCGAGCCATGTTTACATGCTGCCGCCAGTTCTTCTGTTGCGAGCAGGATAGCCCAAACAGCCTCTTGCCATTTGGCAGAAGGCTGAGCAAGCGGCATCATAACACCAAAACACCGTGTGAAGCCACAGGACGGTGAAAGTAGCTGCAATTGCGAACATGATGAACCTTGCACATCCTGCCGAACAAAGTGCCTTAGTTTTCCCTAAGTCCATCAATCGATGGAATCGATGGATTGAGCTCTTCAGGCAGCCTCAGAACTTGAGCTGCATGATAAGACCACAACACCATGGATGTGGGGCCACAGGGCTGTTCGGTGCTCCAGCAAGTTGTGCTCAACGGCTATGTTGTGAATCTAAGACCGAGGCGGAAAGCTTACAGCCTCTGGGCCATGCGATGACCGATCCTTCTCGCCCGCTTCCTTTCAAACACCAGGAGTCAAAGAGCTTTGGCGATTTCTGATGTCCTCAATGCGCAGACTTTAGCATTGGCAGGCCCGTCATCCATCTCTTCACAGAAACAGCAATCCAGAAACAGGGCCAGGCCTTGATGTAAAAAGACTCATGGCTTCTCCTTGAGTCCTTCCAACCTTGCAGAATCCATGGACCAAATCAACTCGCCTGAACGAAATGGCAGTGCTCCACTGTGTGATGTTTTGCTTTACTCGGGAGGGCAGTGCCCCATGCTTTTCAAGCAAATAGGCCAACAACATGAACAACGCGCAACGTGCAAAGAGGCCTCTCCATTCTGCTCCCCGCCATACGCAGTCTCTCTCAGCCGATCTTCTTGCAACTGGCATGTGTCCAGCGAAAGATCGTCCACCCAACAAAAAAAAGCGGAAAACCCAATCCGAGCGCCTTGAGGAGAGGATACCTGTGTACCTTCTAGATGCAAAAATGTGGCAAGACGACAATCACATCAAGTCTGTGTTCAAACAAATTTCAGGCAGATCTAGGTCCGTAGCTTTCTACGCTCCAGCACCTTTCTGCGACCCAATCTACCCCAAGTCAACAGAGGTGCCAGAACATGTAAGACTTCTTCAAACGCTACTCGCATCATGCCGCTCGCAAGAAAATTAACCACTGACTCCATCCATGACTCAACTAAACATATACCACACCTGTTCTCCTCTCTGACTCTGACCAACACACGTGAAGCTTGCTCGAGGCATTGACCTCCGACACTGCAGGAGCAGTTCCATCGATCAAATAGAGAACCACGTAGTGCGGCAAGTTACCACCTAGGAAACTGCGACTGGTGTTGAGACCCTTTTGTACTGCCCCTTCCTCCAGATTGTGCAGAATTCGACTTACTGCGACTAACTGCCCTTTCCTCACGACTGCACAACATGTTAACTTACAAACTGCCCTTTCCTCACTAACTTATCAGCTGGGCTCAAAATTAAAGAGCCAGAGTTACGCAGCTTTTAGTCTTTGGTTCCATGTACCAAGGTGCCATTTTGGGTACCATTTTTGACCCACAGCCCTTTTGGGGTGGGGACGTCCGAATCTGCAAGCTGAGAAGCCCCCAGACTTTTTCCTGCTCAGGCGGAGGCACTCCTATTTGGGAGCGGCCCCGGGACCCCCTTGTGCGTACGGGTTTTGATCCCAGTGCGCACGCGCACGTTGCTTGATATGCCCCAACCACTCAAGTAGTGAGAGGGCTCGCACTTACAATCCACAGCAAGTGCAAGAAAACAAGCATGGAAAAGGAAGTCCCTCACCCAAACTCCGTCAAATGATCAGAGATTTGCATGGTGCAGGGTATGAAAATGCGCTGTACTGCTGCATCAACAATTCACAGCTGGTGCAGGCATCACACGTGGAAGAACCCAAAAACCCGAGCAAAACAGAATTCGGAAGCGTGTGCTTCGGCAGTGCCAAGAGGAAGATTCGGGAGCCAGTCTCATCGCTGGTGATTTGCTAGATCTGTTGCCCAGCGACAGAAACCAGACTGCAGTTTCAAACCTTTCCACCAGCTTGAAACCAATGACAGCTCAAGTACTTCAATACTCACAGGTGACGCTGGCTCTCACGAATCAGCGAACGGCTAAACTTTATACGAAAGCTCGGTCGTCCTGTGCCTCCTCAAAGGCTGAAAATGATTTTGCAAGCCTCGAACCCATTGGGCCAGGCATCCTTACAGGGTGCCAAATGACATCCCTTCAGCTTGGCTTCTTCCTCCCTCGGCCAAGTTCCTTGGATCAAGCATACCTGCTCCTCCCGCTTCCAAGCCACTTGTGCTCGCTCACTCTCCAGCTTCGAGACGAAATGCAGGAGCGTTGGGCGAGTCACCTTTCTTGCGCACACTCAGGCAATTGCAACGATCAGATCATTTCAAGAAAACTCAATTGCCACCGCTCACCGCTGGAACAGCCAAGGAGGTATCATTTCTGAGGCAATTTCATCTTGACCGGGAAAAAAAAGCAATGTCGTGAGCAACTCACTCCGCCTAACTCGAAGCTGTTTTTCGGGGTCTAGCATCTCCCCATCCAGCAATGGAAGGACAAATGCAAGTCAAAAACAAACTTCTCCACTTGAAATGACCAAGATAGATCATCAGTCATTGGAAGTGACGTTAGAAACTCCTCTTTGCAAGAAGGTCTTGCCCTGCGATTGCGGGATGCTGGTTTGCACAGGCATCAGAATCACAGGCTCACTGTACCATTAGCAAGATCAATGAAGCAGGCTTCAGGTAAATGAGTCATATGTGGCATCACGCCGACTTGCTTGCGCAAATGCTATTGACAAAGGAGCGAAACAAAAGGATTGCTCACGTAAATATCCTTTCCGCACCCAAAAAGCCCAGTGCATGAACAAAAGAGACAACTTCATCATTAACTCAAATGGTGGAATCAAGGCTAACCGCTCCCAGAAGTCCAAGCGCTTGATGAGAAAACAGACGCTGTTCGGCATGGGTACAGCCAAAGGCTTGAGCGATCTTCTGTTCGGCATTGGAACAAAGAGCCTGTGGAAGCGGCACTCTGGGCAGGCCACGCATGCACATGGTTGCAGCCTTCAATGTTGGGCCATCTGCAGCCTTGTAAAGGACCATCGGTCAACCATCAAGAGCCCCAATTCTTGCAGCAATGTTACACTGCTTGTGCCGCTCTTTGCAGAGTTTGAGATGGATTTCAAGCGTTGAACTCCTGCTAAACTTGCTACCCCTACGCACACGTCGTAAACACCTAGATGATAGCTATTATGTTGAGTAGTTGCCAACAAACTGACTATCCCTTCTACGTTAAGAACTGGCTAACCGGCTAAGACGCTGAAGCTCACTGCCATACAACAGCATTCTTTATTGGGTAAAATGCTACCGGGGCGCAAAGCGTTCGCATGCCCAATCAAGGGGGACTTCTTTGCCGCTCACGAAAATGAGCGGCAAGTACTCATACGTGCTCGATTGGCCTGAGCTGAGCAGAAGCATGACAATTCCTGAAATTCTGGAAGCATTATAAAGGTGCTCTAAGAACCCGGCTGCATTTTGCACAGAAGTGGGCCAAGTTTGCCTCCAAACCTTGATTCGCTGCCCGACGCACCCCAGCCACGCAAACACCAGGATAGCCTGGCAGGGCTTGACAAAAGCCGCAAAAACAACACACAAGCTGGCTGCTGTCCGCATTCCCGCCTGCAACAGCATTCATCATCTGGAAGCATGAAGTACATGCGTCTACGCTCACGAAGTTGACCACTGCCAGCTTGGACCAAGGAAGATGAACAAAGTCATAGGGTCGCTTGTCCCAAGAGTATTTGCAGCATCCTTGACTAGTGTCCACAAGTGGTGAGCAAAACAAGCCGTCAAAGATCTCAAAAGGTGGAACGTGACAAAACACAAAGACAAAATAAACAACACTGCCGCTATAAAGCCCAAGCTGCGATGGAGCGCTTCCAAGAAACCTTTCTGCGACATCTTCTGGGAAAGCTTGAAGAGGAGGGAGGTTGCTGATTCCGCCAAAACCATCGCGCCAGAATATCCCTTTGGTCAAAATGTTTTGAGCAACAAATGCTACGCACCACTGTGGCTCTCACGGCACCACCGCCCGGTGTTCCAGCCAACGCTTGAAACTGTGCAGGTGAACCTCAAACTCCTTGCAGGAGACATGCACTCAAAATCAGACCGCCATGGCATGGAGATACTGAACAACGCAAACAATACCAACAAGTTGCAGGACTGTTACAATGGTTTGCCTACCCTTGACCAGACATTGCCGACTCCGTCAAGGAGCTAGCAAGAGGCACTGCACCTAACTTTCCAACACTTGAATTGCATTCTCGGTACCTTCAAGGCACAACATGACTACACCTACGGAAGAGCGTTTACGTTGATGCGATTCCAGATTCAACAACGACAACCTCTACACCGTCCTCGTCCAGTGCTCAAACTAGGCACCTCATTACCACTCGTACAACGCCTCCACGAAAACGGACGTTAAGAGGTCTACAACATAGTTCAGCTCGATGTGAAACCGCGAGAGGCTACTGCATAGCTAGCTTAGATCCTACATCGTACTATCATCGTACTCATCTTCACACTCCTTTCATTAGAATGGACAATTGGCTAAGTTCCATGTGGCACATCAAAACATCTACAACTCCTCTGATCCTCCAGCAGTCTCATGAAAAGGGGTAGAACATGCAGCTGGTACGTTCGTTAAGATGCAAAACATTGCACTAAGCTAGTCAATAAGCGGGGGAGGGAGGGAGGGAG